CGAACCACTCTTCTATTCGAAGTATCGCATATGATGAGACTATCTCTTTCTTTGTCGATAATCACATCATATGGGTAATTCAATTGATGATCTCCACTTCCTTGTCCATTTCCACCGGCAACCACTTGGCCACTTGTTGCACCTCGTTTCCATTCCACAATACGGTGATTTGATTGATCAGCAACATAGATTGTTTGATCATCATCAACATACAAACCCCATGGGTATGAGAGTTGATTGATTTCATTGCCTTGTCGATTTCCTCCAGCCACAGTGATACCATTTTGTTGCCATCGAGCATTCGGATGAATGTTGGTGCTGGATGGAGAACGTAATGGATAATCTAAAATAGAGACAAGAAAAATTATTAAAATAAGAGAGAGAAATTTTCTCTTCATAGAAATAGGATTTTGTTACAAGACGAGAATTCTTTTTGAGTCAAGTTCTCAACTTTGTTAACAACAATTATTTTTTTAACTCTTTTTTTTGTTAAATAAAAGTTATTCATTGTTGCATTTTCAATCAACCATCCATGCTTCCTTTATTTTGCTCTTCAACTGCATAGGATTGCTACACAAAATGTCAATGACACAACATCGCTTCATTTCTTCACCGGCGTGATTTACAATGAAATCGATAGTTAAACTTATGATCTGTTTCTAACGATAATAACAAAGAAAAATGTTCTTATGGAAGACTCAACATTTGCTCTTTTGACAGTTCCCGATTGTATTGCTGATTGCTGTATAATAAGTGTGTACCGTTTTCTGTCTCTATCCTTCATTTATTTTACATATTTTCAAACTTTTAAATTGAAACAACAGTTTCTGAACACTTGTATCGTCAATCTAGGTTTTTGAGCATTCAGCTATTGAGAAAATTGTTTGATTAGTTGAACAGATTCAAGCTTTCATAAATCATTATCTGTATTTTGTTCGTCGAGCACTCTTAGTTTACTATGTTTCTTTAAAAATCATCATTTTACTAAGGTCGTAGCAAATCTTCAATGATTAATAAATTTTTCAAGATCTTTGATTGCTAATTTTTACAAGTATGCACAATGTTACATCATCACGAGAAAATTAGACATCTTATTTCCCTAATATTAGCACATTCATGAGTACAACGGTAGGTACTAATCGTTTTATCCTAATGGTGTAATCTTACCATTGCCCTCACCCTATCTCATACTCTTAGTCTCAATTGATGTCAAGTTAGTACATTTTTGATTTCTTAACTAGTTTTGAAACGATAGGTTTCAAGAAAAGAAATAATTATGCTTACATTGAAATTTCTAAGAACTTTTTTAACTGATAGAAATTCTGAAAATATCAAAACAAAATGAAATTTACAGTAATTTTGCCACGTAAATTTCAAACTTAGTAACAATTTGGAATTTTCTACTTTATACTATAGTCCATATGAAATAGTAGATATGTTAAAATTTTAAGCTTTCATTGTCTTTAGAACATTGAAGTGAAGAGCAATCAAATACATTATAATTCTTCAGTAGACACCAGTTAAGTATCCATCACTAATTTATTACCTGTTCGACGAAAGAATGTTTTTTTGACATCATTTTTCAATAACGTCTTATGTACCCATGTGGTTCAATATTTCATCATTAAGACTAGTGCATAATTCCTAGATATTTCAAGGATCTCTTGAAATATCTTAAAGAAATCAATTGAAATATTCAGTTTCTATGACTAATAATTATGACTTGTAAGTAAAGTTGCTTGTCATGAAGATTTCTTCCAAAACAATCACTATTTCGCTGAACGTGAAAGAAAACAAGGTCTTCAAGTTAGCACAAACTTACGTTACAAATGTTCTTCATTCGAACAATCGAAAGTCTTTAAATAAAATACCAGTAGTCGTCTATATCTCAATTGTTTCCATTCGAGATCTTCTTTCAATTATTTGAATTGGTACAAGTCATAGACATATAGTAGGATAAACAATAAACAGGTATGATGAAAGTTTTGCAAAATTTCTCGATGCTACATATATTATAGAAATAATCTTGGCAAGAAATCGTTTTAAAATCTAGTATTTTTTCTGCATGGAATACCTCATTATATCAGAAGCTAAAATGTCAACTATTCTTTCAAAAAGTCTCCTAATGTCCTTATCAGTAAGAAGAACATCATACAACTTCTACAATGTTTTTGTAATGTATGTTAGCTGATGAGGATATAGATATGAAGTGGTGAATTGATGTAGATTTGAGTATCAACATCTATTGACATGCTCATTAAGAACGAGTGTGTGTCATTCTTTCATCTGAATTTTGTTGATAGTTATTTGGTTAAAGAAGTTGGTTCTTTTAATAGATAATTTGCCAT